GTTTTCAAACTAACAATATCAAACCATGCAGAATGATCGGGATAGCTGTAACTGAGTCACATAAATCAAGAAAATACTATCTGCAACTTTCAGTTTCTGGAAAACCAACTTTGTGGTCAAATTTCAATTTTTCAAACTGTCTTGTCAACATTTCATCAAAGCCTCTAATTATAGATATCTAAAATGGCAACCTCACAACTGAATTAGCTTGGATAGTAAGTGAGTCTAGAAATATGGGTTGCAATTGTGGTGTCAATTTGGTAGTATGAGAAAGCAGCACTAGTATACATGTAGACTGGATCTCTGTTAGAACTGTTCAAGTAACTGCCGGCCAATCTATAACACCACCAAACCTTGGCAAAACAGTACAGTGGTGTAATTACTATATTTTGGGTAAGGTGAGGCTATCTTCTTTCTGTAAAACAGACTGTACATGTACAAAAATTCCTTATCTGTCTTCAATATGTTACAAACACAAAGTGTCTTCAAGAGCCCTGTGCCCATGTTACCACCACGGTAGTCAGGGACAGAATGGGGCCTGGTAGTTTACGTTAGCCGAATTTATTGGGTTCTTATATAGTGCAAGCCTGCTCTTTAACTTAACTTAAACTAAGATCTGCGTTCTGCCTACTGAGGAACCGTTATCCAGAGTGGATGGCTGACCTCGCTGAAGATTACAGGACTTAATCGATATTCCGAATACAAAGGTAGACCTTTTTTTGGAGAAGGTTTCGTCTAAATGTCTGTCTGTCTAACTGACTGACTGACTGTCCGTCTGACATCGCCGGGTACAGAAGACAGACCCAAAGAACCGTTTTTTTCACAGACCTGAGCTGCGCGACTTAGTACACCCAATGACATTATGATGGCCTTGGTATACCATGACCTGTCTTAAAAATTCCTTAATATAGTACACTAATTAAGGGCATTCCTTGAGTACACGAATAAGCAGACTTTTAGGGAACACTTGAACTACCTACTTACAAAAAATCACAACAATCCGTCAACCGGTTTCTAAGTTATCCTCTCTCGAATATTTTTAAAGAAACCGTGCATGCAGTTCCACAACAACGAACTAATTAGTTAGGGGCAAATTGTGTAGGTACCGTTTCAGATTTGGATAACTTAGCACTACTGTTCTCCACTTCTGGGCAAAAGTTTTTTTTTGGAATAATTCTTCTACTACTGGAAAAAAAAGATTTCTTTCAAAATTAGGAACACTAAGACATGTATTTCAACCAAACACCAATTTTATTACCATATCACCAATCTATAACATTCATTAATTGTTAGTTTAATATCTAACCTATCCACTAATTAGGTAACGTATCAACTAGAAATAACAATAATTGCTGATTAGCTCAAACTACCAATAACTTCGACAAAAACCTATCGTCATTCGCTGACACAACTTCTAAAACCAAGCAATGTATCAATTTAGCCAAACTCCAATTTAGTTATCATCTCACAAATGTTTTAATTTTACCCCTTATGTAAGTCCCATTAGGTTAGAAAGTGTACTTCAAAGTCGCCTCATCTTCAATGGTCTAATCTATTATTTATCATAATTTCATAAATATTATGAAATATGAATATAATGATCATAATTATACCCCAATAGGTTAGAAAACTGGAATTCAAACTCGTATTCAATCTTCTGTGGTCCCATATCCAATCTATCAATTATTATCATCCCAAAAATCTAAAATGTTCATTAATTGTTAGTTAGACCTGAAAACTTAATCCCAATGAATGTAAATCAAACTAGTTTCATCTTTTCGCTTCCTTATTAAATTGAACGGGGCAGGCTCAAGCCTTAAACGAAAGTTCTAATGCATCAATTTTTCTTTCAAAGGTGACTTGCTAGCAGACTTTTTTTTTTACTTTAGACCATGTTGATTTGATGATATGGATAACATCCACGCGTGCATAAATTTTCGTCCGTTTCCAAAGAAAAAAAAGAGTTTTCGACCATGCTGTAAATCGTGCAAAACATTTGCAAAAGGAGCAAATATATTAAAATTGAACGGAACAACACTGGTAAACGATACCAATGTCGTAGAATACCAAATCAAACGAAAAAAAGACGAAAATGTAAAGAAATTAATTTGAAGACTAGATTATTCGACAAACCATACTCTTCTTGTTCAACCTTCAAAACGAGCTAAATTTTATAATGAAAGCATTTTTTGCCAAACTTCTTTTTATTCGCACGCTCGCATCAGTTTTGGAGTTCACAGAGGATGTCATCCATATAATCAAATCAAACTGGCCTTATGTTATTTAAAAATACACAATATTGCTGTTTTATAGGAACCTCCAGGTTATAAGGCGGTTTCAAAGTTGTGGAGATCCATGAATGACTCATTTCGATTGGCTTGTTGCTAGTTATTATGGCATGGTTACATTCATCGTAGGCCGTCATACGATTAAAAAAAGAACAAATTTAAAGCATTGTTTGTATGGGTGATTAAAGAGGCAATCTACATCAGGGCATTACGACCAACCACCGACTTTCTGCATTCCTTGACAAAGACTAGAGTTGTACAATCAAATATTTTTGTGAGTCCAATTTGTTGTGTTGCATATTTCAGTTCAAAGTTATTTCATAAGGCCACAGCAAGTATTTTTTATGGATGACATCAGCGCGCGCATTAATTTTCGCCTGATTTTGGAAAAAAAATTATGTTGCCTTCTGACAGTGACAAACATGCCTAAAATTGGCAAAGATGTCTGTTTTCATGCCGGAAGGTGGATGGCAGATAACTATGAAGAGAGGAGACAAGAAAAGGCTCTGATTTAATGGTTTGTTTCTGTCTTTGTTGCAGTGATATGTGATGCTTGCTGTGTATATGTGATGTTCCCACTGAATCAAAACCATTTCTACAATGATTGAGTCAAAATTTTAAGATGTACGAACCTTGCTTTTTTGGCCTGTCTTGTATTTTTTTCGCCCGCTTGCATTAGATTTGAAGTCTGTGGAGGATTTCATCCATAAAATTCATATGCTGTGGCTTATACCAACACAGATGAACTTTCAAGATAATTTTAAAGCATGTTGTGACAGAACGAACCGCTTACAATGCTCTAAGATAACATTGTGCTTAATGCAGAAGCTGAATTTTTACTAAAAATGTAAGACTGTCCAAAAAATAATCTCAGTTAGTGATTGTACGGCGATCGTGCAACGTATGTGACCAGACCATAATACGATTGTTGCTTGAGATTTGAGATGCCCTTTAATTTTCGGACATAACGCCCTCTTCTTCCATTTCTTCCGTTTTAAGTTACTAGAAGATTTTTTTCAACAGTTGGAAGTGATAAGTAAGGATACTGACCTCCAGATTTTTCGATGACTATCAGTCCATCTTGTTCACGGAATGGCTAATGAAAGAAGAGGCCCTAGACTTGCATCGGTCTGCTGGGCCCTACCCCATGTTGCCTCCCTCCAGAGCAAGATGGACTGATAGTCATCGAAAATTTGGGTGTCAGTATTCTTACCCTTCCAACTTGTCACTGTTGAAAGAATCCTCTAGTAACTGTATCTATACGTGACAAATGAATCTCTTCAACAACTTCCGTTTTAAATTTTTCAGCCATCTGTTCGTCTCCTTCAATGTCGTCCATCTCTCGTCTCCTCCTTGGTCCCGGCTGTCTCCTTAATATCCGGCCATCCACTTATATGTTTTACCTAAATTGACGGAACAAGATATCAGAGATGTTAAACTTCCGGAAAGTAGAAATTGTATTCGTTAAACGGAATACATAATGTATACAATTTCACATATTAATATTCCATTTATAGATATTACCAATATGTCTGATATTGCTAATGTATATTTGTTACATAAAGGATAACCTGCAAATGCATAATGTTTACTTTTACATGAACTAGCTAATAAACTACTGCTCTGTTAATTGTTAGTCAAACACAATCATATATAATAAATCATTTAGCCCATTCACCTCTGTCCTGCTACAGAATGTAACTCAACACCACAGGGTGTCTGCTACAGCACCAGTTACTATCAAGGTGACAGACGTCTGGTCCTGGTCATTGATTTTATTTATCTAATTGTTTGTTTTGTTTGGAGAAGAAGAAGAAGAAACAGAGCAAACACATTATGTTTTCCTTCTGCGAAGGTAAACGTTAAAATATAGAATTGATAATTACCCAGCCCATCACGCCTGTAGACATTCTTATACTTGTTCACTCCCCACACAATGTTCCAGCTGGAACTGACGTGCACTTCTTTCAGCGACCCTTCAATATTCATCCATCCGAGTCCCACCGGGTTATCCGAGCTTATCCCTGGTGACAGAAAACAAAATTATATGACTCGAACTTGAACAAACACTGCACGAAAAGTTGTATTTACAAATAGTGGTAAATACCAGTTAAGTCTTGTAATGTTTGCTTTGTAAACTGTTCCGGACAGTTTCAGTAATTTTATTTACTGCCTTTCATGTTTACTAAATCCGAAATTACCGGACTCGATTTTATTTACTACCTTTGTAAAGTAATTATTATCAAACTGTACTGTCATATATTATAATATTCTAAATGGTAAATTTATCTTTTCATGCAGTGAAAGGTAATGTAACAGACCATATTACAAGAAAGAAAGGTTCAGTGACTATATGCTAGAGCCAAGTGTTTAGATAGAGAAGAAAACAGACGCAAAGGATTGCAAAGGACGCTACACTTAGTCATAAACCGGAGCGAGGAAACGGTTGGGGTGGGGAGTACAAACATAGTCACCCGTAAATAATTTCACCAGGTTGGTAAACGACTGAATAGCAAAGTTCTTTTATCACAACCATTCACAACCATTTATTTTTCACGAGCCGACGTTTCGATGACCGTCTGTCATCTTCATCAGGGCAATTCTGACTGGTTTACTGTGCACTGACACTAGTTGTTACTTGTTACCAAAGAGTTTCTATATAGAAGATTTGTTAACTGACAATACCTAGCTATCACAGTCCCAAATAGAAATCTTATGTATGGAAACACTTTACATTTGGAACCGCATATCTCCCTATGATGTAACAATGCCTAGTATTTATGTCACAATTACACTACGTTCTGGAATGTATTGTTAACAGAAAAAACTAGCTTAAGTGCACTGTGAACTATGTAACACCTTTAGTGCACTATGCACCAAGTAACAACTAGTGTTAGTGCACAGTAAACCATTCAGAAATGCCCTGATGAAGATGACAAGCGGCTAGTGAAAAATAAATTGTTGTGATAAAAAATCTTTGCTATTCAAACATAGTCACTTTGGTACCGCATGCTTTCACAGTGCAGCAGCAACTACAAGGTGACCGAATATGTAAAAAGCAATTTAGCTGACATTTTAAGTAGGGTTGTGTAATCAATGTTTGTTGCTGCAGTCTGATTTGAGCTTCTCATGGGAATTAAATGTTCAAGCAAACAAACAGATAAACAAAAACAAACCTTTCCGCATGTATATCTGGTCGTTGCTGTTCACTCCCCACACGACTCCACTCCCGACAGAAAGCTGAACCAAGGATCCCGGAACGTGCTGCCATCTCGGGGAATCCGCGGATGCACGGTAGTAGATCTGATTGGATGGATTGACGCCCCAGACGCCTGACTTCCCCACGGAAACATACTTCAACGTTCCAGGGATATTCTGCCAGCGAGACCCTGAGGAAATGTGTAAAACGTACAAAAAAAATCGTTACAAGTCAAGTCAAAGTTATTGCACAACAATTGTAGCATATAAAATGAATAGCAGTAAAAAAGGTACTAGCTGGTATGGGTCTAGCAAAATTCTGTATATAGGTTCAACAGGTAGAATGTTTGGCAGAATGTTGAAGAGAACCACTGTCTAAGAACTAATACACCTCTACACGTGCGTGCTAAGCTACGCTATACTATATCTATAAAGGTTCGTTGGGAGTTTTATATACTATACAGGTTCTACAATTACATATTTCACAGTGTCGACTGACTAACATCTATTACGGTTCTACGGATAGGTGCTAAAATAAGCTGTACCATATAATTAATGAAGTCTACAATAAGGTCTTGTATAACTTCTATTCAGCTTTACTTATTGATATTCCTAGGTAATTTGTTCAAGGTTTCTTTAGAATTGGACCTCCTGATCATTCATTTATGCATTTTATCTGTCAACCGCCACAGTGCGGTTTTGAAAGAAAACGTTTTTTTTTCTAGTTTTTTCTCCAAGTTTTTACATCTCACCAGACAACACATGTATTACTGCTAAAGTCCCTTAACCCATTTCTGATCCAAAACAGCAAGAGAAACCTGTGAAAAAACAAAACATAAAGTGCCTTTATTACCGGTCCAATGATAGATTTGGTTATACTTGTTGACTCCCCAGACATCATTGTTATATGAGCTGACAGACACCATCTTCAGCGACCCAGGAACTTTCTCCCAGTATGCTCCTTCAGGTTTTTCGCCGGTGATGCCTGTAAATGTGAGCAAACACAGAAAAGGCAACGGGGGGTTAAAATCATCTTTATTTCAATATACAAATATATACAAGATGACTCGTTGAAGTACACCTAGGCCAACCCTTTATCTCATTAAGAGGAGGTAAGTAAAATGTAACAAGTAACTGTGTGCATCGGACATTAAACTTTTCGATTAAAATTGTTTTCTACACATACATTTCATTTATACGTATACTTACAAAAAATGTTTTATAGATCTTAAAGATTAAAACAAAAGAAAAGAATCAAGCCTGTTGCATCAAATTTATCTTTTACAAGAGAATAGCCCTGAGGTACTTTCCCAACCCTGTGTGTTTCTAGCGCAGTATATGGCATAAGATGCACAAAGTGAGCACTTCCCCAGTCTACTTTTAAGATGTCTGACTTCACGGTCCTTATGACTGACTAGACAGAGTGACTTCAGTTTCGCAGTGTTCTCACTGTTAATCCATCCTCTACTTCCAACTTCAACTGTAACGAGTGTAGCTCTGTACCCACTATGTACGTTTATTTCATTAATCAGGCCTTCGTACTTGGCAGACTTTCTGTCCTCATTACTTATTTTTTTCTACGTTTGCATATCTTGTTTGAACAATCTTGTTGTTCATATCCGGAACCACGTTTTATCACCGTGGTTTTATCCAGAACCATGTCCATGTACGGTTCTTGGTAGTCCATCCGTAACCAAAACGTGCCTGGGTCAAATGTACGTTCTTAGATAAGGCACATAACTATGTCTAGATAAGCATGGTACAATACGTTGCTCGTAAAATTTTATTTTTGGGGAATATTTCAGGTCAACATGTTCAAACCAATTATGCAAATGACATTTATATTAGCATAAACATACATAGTGAGGTTAACCTTTACCTAATATATATACGTGCAGATCCAACAAGCAAGTCAAATTAGATAAATGAAGGAATAAACGAATGAATAGATTTAGCCTGAAAGCCTTTATTAAAACTCCGCACATACTGTGTAAAGCGACAAAAAAGAGAGAACTAAGTATACGAATACATGTAACATATGTAAAATAAATATTTGCAATACTAAACAGGTAAAACTAGAACTATCACGTCTTGCTTTGCCAGGATGATCGTCTCACAGTCCATGTGTTGTTACAGCCATCATCTGTCTCCTAGTCCCACATCAGGATGGTCTTTGTGGAAGTCTCCGCTGAAGACAGTCTTACCCCACGTTCAATCAGTCGCTTCTGACCTACGAAAAAACATAACAACAGAAAACAAGTACAGTGTAAAAATGGCATTTCGGCCAGAATGTGCTAAAAACCGTTAGGATAACAGTCTCCCCAGCGGCCCGGATGCCAGCAGCAGGCGTTGTTATGCGAGCCAGCATTGACATGTGAAATACCCCCCGTGAGAAGGCCGGCGCTTTTACATATGGGAACAACAGGTCAGATAAAGGCCACAGATGTGAGTTGCGAAGTTGAGTTGCTCTAAACTTTCGTCAGAAATGATCTGAAACCATAATGATCATACTGATTAAAAGAGTTTCGAAGGGTTTACTCACTTCTATATGCTGTCAACAGTCTTATGCAGTCGGTTTATGGTCCAGTTGAACTGTTCGTCAGGCGAGTCTGCAACGTGTCATGACATGCCTGGCGGCTTCGTGCCCATGCCGGGCGACGTATAGGGCGATGTCCCCGGTACGTCTCTCGTCCTTGTCTCGGCCACTGATACCTCATAGCGTCCAGTCGGTGTACGGTCAGTATCCTAGACTTTGACAATCAATGCCGTGGTTGCTGAACTTATGTGCAGCCGATATATATGGACAGCCAGCGGGACGATAGAAAGGGACGCACACTCAAGCAAGCGGTCACTGAAGTGACCGTTGAGTTTGAATCTCCCCCGGGGTTTTCTCAGATTACCCACAAGGCACTGCTGCTGCCGGAACTGCTCTGCGGATCCGTCGAAAATACAGAAGTGGATCTTTGAGAGATGCTCGGTTTTGACACGGTTTTGTATGTGAACCAACTTCTTGTCTGATATGCAAAGTTTCCAATCAGCAAAAATCAGTAAAGTCACGAATCCGAGCAGACATTTGCTCATGCGACGCGCAAAGGCAACGTTACAATGTACGTATATGGCTATTTACGGGGTGCGCCCTCTTGTGGCGACTGTAATTTCAACAATTTGCGAATGCGTACGAAAACAAATTCGGATATTTAAGAAATCCCCAGATTACCCACAATTCGCTTTTGCTGTGGAGTGGGCCCGCGGATGCGTAAAAAAGCAAATTCGGATATTCAAGAAATCCCCAGATTACCCACAATTCACTTCTGCTGTGGAGTGGACCAAGGATGCGTAAGAAAGCAAATTCGGATATTCAAGAAATCCCCAGATTACCCACAATTCGCTTCTGCTGTGGAGTGGACCAAGGATGTAAAAAAAAAAAAAAAACTCCCAAGAATACAAGTATCCTAATGTATCCAGTGTATAGTGGATTGTCTGACTTGTCTATGTTATAAACGGTACTATTCGAGGTCCAAAAATATGACAAGTCACGACCCCTAAAAATGTGACATTTCCTATCCTAACAACGTATTATTTCTAAAGTATACGTAACAAGTAAGTATCCATACGGATGCCATGTCTGCATCCGCTGCGAGGTAAGTATCCCTACAAATGCCGCATCTGCATCCGCTGCGAGTTACGGATGCATACGTATGCGTTACGGATGTGTGTGGGATCCGCAATCCTGGGGATTCTTGGTGTGGGATCAGCAATCCTTGGGATTCTTGGGGATTCGCGCAGCATCCGCAAGGTGATGCAAATTCGGATCCTTGGGATCCGGCTGCATCCGAGGCCTTTTCGCCCAGTGTTAGTTTTTGTAAAAGCCCCTAAGAATTTCACAATTGAAATTTTGTTATAGTACAAATGCATGTTGATTTGCAGTCATATTTATGTATACAAGACAGGCATGCATTAGTTGGCATGGTATCTGCAATAAGACATAAAGTGATCTCCATTTATATATTTTCAGTCAACAAGGTATTAACTTAACGGGTTGCTTCTTTGCTAAGATGTCTCCTTCTATCTAAAAATTACAATAGTTAATTATCTGGAACAAGATATAACGATATACACTTATGGTTTAAAAAAAAAAAAACTTTAGTTGGAAACCCAAAAAGAAAAGACCAGCCGGCAGGCCAAGAAAAAGATGGTTGGACCAGATCATTAAAATCACCAGAAGAGAAGAGCCAGACTTCCGAGTAGTTAAAGAAATAGCTGAAGATAGAACAGAGTGGAAAAGACTGACCAAGAGGCTGACAACTTACAGGCCTAAGGCCTAAATGCGTCAGGGTGAGAGGGTGGTGAGACTTATGGTGTTGTTCAATATTTCAAGGAGGAATTTGTGCAACGGTTGCTAATTTGCTAATGATATATGTCTCTAACTATTTAGTATAACTCATGTGATAGTGCTTCTTGCTGTCGCTAAGTATAGCCTAGTTCTAGCTCCGGATGGGACCATTCTAACGATAACACCACACTAATGTTATAATGTTGCCAATAAGCGTTCGTGTGTAAAATATACAAATGAATTTTTTGTACAGGGAAATGATCAAGAGCACTTACTAGAACTAAATCGGCTGGTAACATGGTATCCAAGAGACAATCATTATTGAAAAAAACAACAACTCTGGTACATCTACTTTTAAGAGGTTCTGATTTTTGTAACAACTTATAATATTCAAATATTACAACATGTACATACGTTTTTGCTAGAGTCCAATCTTATTTGTAATATCTTGATCAGTCCTGTCAGTATTTATATTATGTATAGTCTCTAAAACATAAAACATGTCACTAAACATATAGTGACAAGGCGTGGTGAAGTCATACTCAAGTAACACTTATTGTAATATATTCATGTCGCCACCAGACAAGCAAAGCACGAATCATAAAAACCATTTAAAAAAGTCGAAAGAGACAAGAACAGCAAGGTATGACCTTCCTATTTTTCAGGATGGCGATCTCAAAATGTCATTTGAGGAGATGCGAAAGAAGGCCGCTACCTTTTACACCACCCACGCCGACAAGTATGGCGGGGGGAAGGCCATGGACGTGCTGAACCACTGGGCCGGGGACAAAGACAAGGAGATGACCATGGGCGAATTCCTGGATATCATGTTTGAAGATAGGCTCTAAACATGAGACCAAGTTGGTTCCATTGAGAGGCTTATAACCCTCACATGTTGAGAAGACAACACTGTACGAAAAGTGGGAATTACGTTTGATTAACCCTTGTCCTGCAGGGCCTTAATATATATATATATATATATATATATATATATATATATATATATATATATGTATACTAGTATTCCACACCCAGTACCATCCATTTGACGCCTTGTATATCTAAAATTTGGGGATATTCCTTGTATAACCATCACACCGCAGCAAAACGCAACGAATGCGGAAGTAACTACGCCACCACAGGGTAAAAACGGCATGTGTCTGTGACCTGATTTAGACCTAAAATTATTGAAAATATTGTGTAAAAATGCCAACAGGACAAGGGTTTTTATTTACAATAAATGCTAGGTAAGTCTATAAAAGTTGCCTCTGGCTTAGATATTCAGGACTCACATTACAAATAATGATTAATCCACGCGAGAAAGCTTTTCTTTCGACAAGTATTACTTAAAACAACTATGATCAAACTTAGGTGGCATACATTGTCATTCAATTTGGTAAAATCCCACTTTTCATTCAGTGCAAAAAAAACTGCAGAGGCAAGCATGTCAGAAGGATTAATAATAACTTCCATTCCAGTGAAACTACATCAGCTGTAAAACTTTAACCACAACACATAATTGCAATTAACATGTATCATTCGTAACCATACCTTAGTCCCTGCATCAAAGAAGTTACCAGATTTACATTTTGTTATGGATTCATTCTGAATAAATGATTTGCCGATGTT